TTCGCTATATAGAAACGGTAAAAACTTTGATGCAGGTTGCTGATGAATATACACAAAAAGTGTTGCTTCCCTTTGTGATGAATATTCGGCCTCGTGTGAATAAACATAAATAACTAAATATGTATTTTGCTAACTAAATGATAGGTAAATGAGGGTTTATTTATGTTTGCGCCTGTCCCAGATATTTCGACCTCTCAAATAGCGCTAGTCATCTATTCAGACTCAGCATACACATTATACACAATTAACTACACATTCTCGTTTTCTCTATTCTTCCCTCTCCCATATCGATGTATCACATCTCTAATATATAGTGTACCTGAAACCACATCATATTTTATGTCGGTATATAAGGATGGATGGATTTATTCGGTGTAACCACACCAAGGATAACCCACGAAAGTCTGAAGAAGACATTTCCTGTCACCTGTGGGGTCCTTCTAGTAGTGATTGGGCAGTACACCGGGAGATAATCGCGTCTACTCTTTTCCAAATAGTGTACTGAGTTATATAATAATGCACACGGGACCAATGTAACTTGCATTTTAGCCCTGCAGCTGAAAGACAATGAGAGCAGCGATAGGAATAAAACCGGGGACATAGAGATCTCCATGCTTCAGTGCAGGGATGGCGCCAGGATTTCCCCGACGGGGGTGGGGGGACCGAGGTCCCCGACAGTGGTGGGTGGGGGGATGTCCCCGACGAGAGCAAGTGGGTGTGGTCGAGCGTCGCTTAAAATGTTGCCATTATTAGACTCTCCGGATTTAATGGTTAAGACTTTTGCCTTGATCGCAGGTTTATTGGCGACAGACCAGAGCAGGCCAAATGTGAAGTGTGGGCGACTAGCGGACACGTGTGTACATAGCATAATTTATGCTTTTTTATGTTATTTTTAATTTTAATCAATTTAAGTATAGAAACAGCACATGATGCAATCGTAGCAGCAGGCAAAATTACATGAATTCACAAAAGAATCGAAAGGCAAATAAAAGTATTATAAAAAAGACATATGCTTAGTATCGTCAGGGTTCATGTATATATAAAAAACGAGGATGAAATAAAGATAGGTAAAGGTGAATTCAGAGTGGCTGTTTTATACTTTAATTAATAAATTATTAAATAATTAATAATTAATTAAATGATTAAATATTTTCATTCAGTAAGATTGGTATAATTATGAATCAATTTTCAGCCTTATACTGATAGTGTAAAGTATTTGATTTAGGTTTTATTTAGCACAATAATAATCGATCAGCCCTACATGGCAAAATGTAACCGCCAGTTATTGTTTGAAAAACTGTATATAGAGGTTTAATGTGAAACACACATCAGTGTAACATGATTTTTGCTGAAATACCAGTTCTTTCGAAAATACCAATCATGACGTCTAAATGGTAAGTAAATTTGATGTCAGTAATAATGGAGACTTTTTTACACAAAGAAGAATAAATGTAAGTAAACGTTACTAAACGCAAATTGATGTTATTGAGCATTCGCGAAAGAATGAGGTAATAAAGTTTTGTGTTCGCTGATTATTGTTCTGCAGATTTTAGTTTCAGATTTAATATTCCGAATTAGATATCATTTATTTTCATCAGGCAAGCCATATGAATTACGTTTACAAACTTCGAATTCCAGAAATAGTACATTCAAACAAAAAACACTTATTATTCTCTCAATATATAGAGCTTTGAGATGCTTGGAAGGAACTTGGATAATAAATTCATCATATGACATCAAGTAAAGCACATTATATCGCTCGTGTCTTAATAATCCTGGGTAGCTAATACTGAAATATTTTTAATAATACCGTAACTGTAGCATTTGTCCTAATTTCACAACCTTTTGAGCAATACGAGATTTTTACCTAACATATTATAGGTTATAGCGTCAAATTCAGGCATACGCCATAGGAACATATGTAAATCAAATTAATGGGACAGGCGATACTCAAACAAAATTGTTAAGAAAGAGCATACAGTACAAACCAACAATACATTTTTTGTAAACATGAATTTGAACAAGGCAAAGTATAAATAAAAAATGTAAACAACGTTAATAGGAATCATGTCGTTTTTATGGTTGCTGAGCCCTGACAAATTTAGTGACACACAATTGGTCTTTAAAAAACAATTACACGCACGCAGAAAGTTTAAGTTCACTTTTTGTCGGGCGTTAAATAAAGGTGTAGCGGATGTTTACCCATACTTTAAGAGTAAGCGAGGTTACGCGCGGTTAAACCAGGGAACAGCACTGTTCCCTGGATAAACCAATAGCAAATAAGTCCAAACAATATTCCAAATGTAGTGTAGCCGCAAGCAAAAATTCCAGTCAGTTTTAGTCCAGAAATCGAATCTCTGTCCGAATGCATATGAGGTACCGGTAATACCATGAACCATCGCACGTCGACCAGACATGGGCCTGGGTGTTCCTCCAGTTTAAATCTTTAATAACCATTCAACTAATAACTTAATTTCGTTTGGAACAACAGCCTACCCGATCTCCCTTCAGTGGAGTCAGTTCCATCAGCTGAGAGTTGAACGGTGTAAACTGTGCTCTCTAAGTTAGTGTATAGCCATGTTGGTAAGGTACCCCGATGGAATAGCCTCTTGGCCAAAGCCATGGCCCTCGGCTGAGGTACCACTCTTCCCATTTGTAATGCAATCGATCTGGTCTTCTCTGTATCAAAATATTCAGGGTATTAAAGGACATGGCTCTTTCTTCAAATCTAAGGGAAATTAAAACAATAACAAATAATAAATGCAAAGGCTTAATAAAACACAAAAAAAATACACACTACTTCAT